CCAATGAAATGATTTCTGGATTACGAGCAAGACCTTCATCCACAGATGTTACGATTACAGCTGCAGCTACTTGAGCTGATACGCGTCGAATTTGTTGAACTGCAGGGTAAAGGAAGTTTTGATCGACTTCTTCAGGAGTAAGTGACTCAGCGAGTGCAGAAGCAGAAGCGTATATTTGGCGGTCAGTAATTCGATCAGGACGGGCAAGAATTGCGCCTAAACCTAGACCAGGGCTAGTTTGTTTAGAAGAAAAGATTAAAAGATAAAATTGATTACACGAAATAAGAAAATAATAAATAATTAATTAATTAAATCGAGTTATACATACAAAATGTACATATTATTTCCTTGTCCTGGATACCGTATTTTTCCAGTATCAGGTTCAATGTATGGAGGGAAACCAGTACCCGAAGCAAATATGACACGATTACCGGTATTTCTCATCGCCTTTACAAAAATAATAATAATAGATAAGAATAAATAATATAATCGTATATTAAAGAAAATTTTAGAAACAATTAATTCAATTACTTACATCTTCAAAAGTGCACTCCGCGTTTACCATTGGATTGGACAATGGAAAGATGATAGGGTTTTTGTTAAGTTCAGCCATACGTTTTAATATATTTTCATCAAATACACCACCGGTAGAACTTAAGCCTATTAAAGCGGTAGGCTTGACATATTCAATAACGTCCATAAGAGTTTTAAATTGATGACCCTCATTGTCTTTACGGGCGAAATAAACCTTATGCTTGGCCAACTTATCGCCACGATCGCAAGTAACGAGGCCCTGACGTAATAATCAAATAAAAATTGTTAATATAATTGTTAATATAATTGTTAATATAAATTGTTAATATAAATTGTTAATATAAATTGATAATATAAATGGATAATATAAATGGATAATATAAATTGATAATATAAATTGATAATATAAATGGATAATATAAATTGTGACGGCTGATGCTGAAGTTTGGCTGATGTTGAGGCTAAAAAATCTGATTGGTTAGGGTTAGGGTGATCTGCAAAATTTAGCCAATCAGATTTTTTAGCTTCAACATCAGCCAAACTTCAGCATCAGCCGTAACATAAATTGATAATATAAAAATTGATAATGCAAGAAAATAATAATAATAATAATAATAATAATAATAATAATAATAATAATAATAATAAAAATTGTAAAGTACCTTTGTATCAACCAACCAAACCAATTTTTTGGCATCTTCTTCAGACATACCATGTTCTATTTTAAAGAATTCGAGCAATTGTTTTGCGACACCAACACCAGCAGAACCAGCACCGAAAAATAATATTCTATGCTGAGTTGGATGAACATCCTTTTCTACGAGTCGTACAGCATTGATGAAACCCGATAGAATGACAGCACCAGTGCCTTGAATGTCATCATTGAAACAAAACAAGTTGTCACGATACTTGGTCAACAGATCAAAGGCCTAAATATAGGAAAAATATCAATAGAAATTCACTATTCTTGAAAAATAAAAACCAAGATTCTTACATGTTCGGAAGAAAAATCTTCAAATTGAATCAAAAGGTCAGGATATATAGAGGTCAAAGCTTTAAGCACAGCATCGACGAATGGATAAAACTAAAATAAAATAAAATAAAATAAAATTTTGATTTATTTTATGATAAAAGATTAAGAAATTCGTATAATATAATAAATTTATAAACATACTTCATCATCGGATACTCTATTTTTACGGATACCGAGATAAAATTCATCATTCAAGTTTTTTTCGTTGTTAGTTCCAAGATCAATAGTGATGGGTAAAGTGCGTCGTGGGTCTATACCAGCACCAGCAACGTAAAGTTGAAGTTTACCAATAGGAATACCCATACCATTAACACCCAAATCACCTAGACCCAGAATTCGAGAACCATCGGTGATAACGGCGATCTGTGGGGTCAAAGAATCACTAAATGGATATGGACGATAATTTTTAATGATTTGAGTCAAATTTGGGAGATCGTCAATAGAAAGGTATAATCCATCCGGTACACCTGGCGGAGCGAGAAAAGGATAAATATGGGAGTATTCTAGACAAGCGGTACCGACAGTTGGAGTATATATGATTGGAGCCAATTCCTAAATTTAAGAAATAGTTAAGAAATACTAAGAAATAATTAATAAAAAAAAAATAAAATAAATGATTTTACCTCCAATTCATCGATAATGATACGATAAAATAATCTAACATTAGTGTTTCTTAGCCAAGCTAGAAACATGTATTTTTCTAAAGATGATGACTTGGCACGCAATTGGATTAATGCGCGTTTCTTTTGTTGTTCAAGAGTTTCTACTGCGGGCGGGAGGATGCCGGTAAGATGCAGGGAATTGCGCGTGGAGCACGGTGTTGCAGTTCCTTTTGCGGAAATATCATGAATAAGTAAAATTCGCGTTGTTTTATTATATCAGAGAATCATCTCTCTAATAAAATCTCTCGCATTGCTTTATCATAAACTAAGAATGATAAATACTGTATAATTCAAATGAGAATTTTAAATATACCTTTGTTAAGATAAGGTGATCGAGATACACTTTCGATACTCGAAAGATTCGTCTGTTTTCCGTTAATGCGTTCGTCTGGCATAATTGTGAGCTTT